CTCCGCCTCTTTCTCCCCCTCAAGCTCCCTCGCTGCTTGTCTGGCTGCTGCATTTTTTCCTTTCCCTCTGTCATCCCTTCCACTGTCCCTGCATTCAACCCATTCTTTCTTTTCCTTCTGCCTCTTTTTTTTTCATTCAGCCCTACGGGGCCTACCCCTCTCCCTTTCTTGCTTCCTCCCTGCCCTGCTTAGCCACTCCCTCACACCTGCCCTCCCCTCTCTCTGGCCGTCCTCCTGCCTTACCTTGCTTCTTGTCCGTTCCTCTCTCGACCCCTCCCTCTTTTTCTGCCTGCCTGCCTTCATTCCTTCGTTTTTGTCCGTCGCTTTTCTTCCTTGTTTCCACCCTGCACCTGCCCCCTCTCCTCACCCTGTAGTCGCTCGTTTCGTTTTATTTGCCACATATCTCCCCCCCGCCCCCAAACCAAATCCCTGCTGCCGGCCTGTCCGGGACGTTTTCCGTCGCCCACGTGTTGATGGGTCCGTTTTGGGTTTTCCTTTTCCCTTTTGTTTGTGTTGTCATGTTTGCTATACACAACTCCACAGAAAGCATGACTGTGCCAGACTGTTTTGTCAGACTTTCGCCAACTCATCCTAAAGTTGAACCTCAACAGTCTGCCCAGGATGCATTCGAATCATACATGAAAGCGGACGATGTGCAGAAAATTCCGCACGTTTGGTGCACGAGCGGACCCACACGGTGTGGCGCACGGCATGTGCGGCGCACGGGGGAAATATTCCCTAGAAAAAAGGGGTCTCAAAACCGTCACATGGCTGGGTCAATTGTCACCTGCGTCCCCTTTAAAGATTTGTTGTGGGATGGGGGGAGAGAAAAACTAGTGGGAGGGTAATGCCGCTACCTAAATGTCAAGACTGATGTCCCAGACACCTTTTTGACGCTATTGCTCATGCCCAATTGGACGGGAAGAAAAATCTGTACGACTGTACTTGAAAAGATCAGTGCCTTAGGTGTTGCACTCTTCTGTATCTACAGAAACATCCAAAAAAAAAAACAAAAAAAAATGGAAACTGCTGCCGGTACGGCGGACAAGCAGGTGCCGCGCTGCACACCGGACTGTACGGTTGCAAGTATGATTTGAATGATGGATAGGACCGACGTCACCCAGAATTGGCGATACTGTAAGAAAATCGGTCAACTTTACTCGTACCAACCCCGCAATCCTAGCAGTGTTTGTTTACGTGTGTGTACGGTAGGGGGTGGGTGGGCGGGTGGGTG